CAAGTCCCTGGCTGAGCCGCCTGCAGGGTGGGGTTGGCTTCCTTTGAGGGTGGCTCCTGCAGTCCTTTAGGCCAGTGATTTTCAATCTTTTTCATCTCACAGCACACACACTCACCACTCAACCTTTGCAGCACACCAAAACATATATACTGAGTGGCCAGATTATTATGACTACCCCATCAGTACTTGGTTGGGCCACCTTTTGCCTTCAATACTGCGGGGAATTTTCTTGGCATTGACTCCACGAGATGTTGAAAGGTGATGCGAGGAATCTGACACCGTGCCTGATGAATAGCACTGTCCAGTTCTGTGAGATTTGATGGTTGTGGAACAAGCTGCCTGATAGCTCTTTTAACTTTGTCCCACAAATGCTCAATTGGATTGAGGTCTGGTGATTGTGGGGGCCACCTAAGCAAGGTAAAGCCTCCCTCATGTTCTTGAAACCACTCCTGCACAATACAAGCACTGTGTCATGGCACAGTGTTTTGTTGGAAGAAGCCATCTCCATTGGGATACGCACCAAATTCTCACTCCGCCATCTGCATGATGCAACTGGAAACGTAATTCATCAGACCACATGACTTTTTTCCAATGCTCGACTGTCCAATCAACTGTGCAAATTAGAGAAGTTTTATCTTGGTAACTGCAGACAGCAAAGGTGTTTGAACAGGCCTTCGGCTTCCATATCCCATACAACACAGTGTATGGCTAATTTGCCCACAAACGCCAGGTGGTCATAATAATCTGGCCACTCATGTTCAAATAAATCCCATATTCAAAGGCTGTTAAATCGTGTTGTTTACCCATATCTTCAGAAAAAAATCGCTTCTACTGTCGTGGTAAACAATCTGCTTTTCTATTTATAATGGTCTGGCTCTTTAGCAACTTTAGCGCAAAATTATAGCTAATTTCCCCGTGCAGCCACACCAGTTGAAAATCATTGCTTGAAGCCAGCAGGCTGTTTATCCGCAGCTACATGTGAATTTGCAGGTCATTCTTTTTTAAAATATATTTTTATTTATATTAGAGAGGAAGGTAGAGGGGGAGAGAGAGAGAGAGAGAAAATCATCAATGATGAGAGAGAATCATTGATCGGCTGCCTCCTGCATGCCCCCCACTGGGGATTGCGCCCACAACCTGGTCATGTATCCTGACCGGGAAATGAACCCTGACCTCCTGGTTCATAGGTCGAAGCTCAACCAAGGAGCCATGTGGGCTGGGCTACCAGTCACTCTGTATGGAAACAATGGTAAGGAATGCAGGGGTGGTTACCAGGGGCTGACAGAAAACCAACAGTCACAGTCCCCACACTCTGGGGAAGTACAATCCAGGCGACTCTGTGGGTCGGGGTCAGTGTCGTCTCAGTTGTTTACAGCACATGATTGTTTTTGTGAATAAAACCAACAGCAGGGAAGGTGTAGCAGGTGCTCTGGCTCAGTTGGCTTCTGCCTATGGGTGTCTCCTGGGCTGAGGTCATGCAGGACTGTGGTCACCACACGCCATAGTGGTCACCACGCCCCGAGGGCCCTGGGTTCCAGTATGGATCTACCCCTCCTGCCCCATTTGGTATTTTCTGCCAGTGCAGGTGTTACCCAGGAAACCGAGCATAGCCAGGTCCTCGGGGTGTGAAAAAGAACGACAGTGAGAGCAGTAGGAATGGGCAGCACTGGACACCCCTCGCATCTGTTGATTCCTTTCTAGACATGAACGTATTAAACCTTCCAGTCCGCTGGGGTTGTGACCACTGATCTTTCCTACGTAGCAGGAGGGCAGCTAAATGCCATTTCCAGGTCGACCCTTCCAGGTGGAGGCACAGAAGTGCAATCCACTCTGTCTGACTCGGGGGCTGGCTCACCTCCTGGGGGCCTCTCCCTGATCTGGGGACTGGATGCATGCCCGGGCTGGGCAGATGCCACTCCACCTGTTCCCATCTTTCTGCTCTGTCCTGGCACAGAGGGGCCAGACCTAACCTATGGAGCTGTTAATGTAGAAAACATTCAAACCTGGGAAGAATTTTTTGTGAGTTTATTTGAGCCAAACTTGACAATTGCCGGGAAGCAGAATGTCAACGGATTGGGATAAGGCTCCAGAGAATGGCAGGTTTTCACCTTGATTTACACATTACAATCAGAGGAGGGGACATAGGTGGGTTACAGGAACTCCACTGGTGATGGATTAGAGAGGCAGGAGGAAGCAAACTGAGGAAACCCCTGGGATTGGATAAAAGTAAAAAGATAGACACACACTTACTAGTAGGTGAGTGCAGGACAGTTAACCGTCAAAGTTAACATGATAACAATCACAATGAAGGAATTTGTGGCCTCCATCCTGGTGCCAGGCAGATCACTTGTGCTCTCATAGATCTGGAAAAAGGAAAGTTACAAGTTACCTCACATCCCATAGATGTGTTATCTTAGATGCAAAAAGACAACAGGCTCAGTAAAGATTGAAAATTGATCTTTGTCAGGGAAGATAGTGGCCTAGGATGTAACTACCCATATAAACTGCTTTTTAATTAAAGGTTTTTATTTTCAGACCTCCTGTGTGGTCACTTCAGGTCGCTGACTTTGCAAGGTCGCCACACAGGCCTCCCCTGAGCTGGTCAGGTCAGCATGTGGCCCTTTTATCGTCCACAGACGCAAGACGGGCTCTGGGAACAGTGCTGACCTGGGCCTGGAACTGGCCCGATCCAGGGAAAAGAATGTGTCACTTGAATGAGCAGGTGGGGCCTGAGGCAGGTGCTACCCACAGAGCCCTCTCCACCCGGAACTCACGCTCCAATAAACACCTGACACAAACATTTCCTGCTTCCAGGCAGCCTGACCACACGACCTGTGTGACCTGGAGCCCAGCCTCCGAAGACGTGACCTGGACAGGCGGTCACCAAGGTCGAGTGCAAGTGAGAGAACAGGGAGATGTGTGGGAGTCGCCCCCAGTCTTTCTGGGCCATGTTGGCCTCCAAACAACACAGGAGCCGAATCATCACATAGACTAACTATGGGCCAGTGGACAGAGCTAAGAGGTCTTGGCTGCCTGCCCCTCACCCCTCCGTTCCGGAGTGAAGGCTGGTCATACGAGGTGCTTTCAGGCTCTGCTTCTCTGCACCACACGTGCGAACGTGCCCACCTGAAACATGGTACCAGGGGGAGACACATGCCAGCTGGGCCTGGACGCTGCCCAGCACATGTTCAGGCACCCCTCTCAGCCACTCCCCACTTCTTACAGGACATCTGACCCTCTCCACTGTCCTCAAGCCCTCCAGCCGCCTTCCTGGTCACAGTCAGGAAAGGGCCTCCTCTCATAGCTAACAGGAATGGGACAGCAAGAGAGCAGTCAGCCCGGCCGGTGTGGCTCTGTGGTAGAGCGTCAATCTATGAACTAGGAGGTCACAGTTCAATTCCCTCAGGGTACATGCCCTGGTTCTGGGCTGGATCCCCAGTGTGTTGTGTGCAGGGGGCAGCTGATCAATGATTCTCTCTCATCATGGATGTTTCTATCTCTCTATCCCTCTCCCTTCCTCTCTCAAATCAGTAACAGTATATATATATATTTAATATATTTTATTGATTTTTTACAGAGAAGAAGGGTGAGGGATAGAGAGTTAGAAACATCGATGAGAGAGAAACATTGATCAGCTGCCTCCTGCACACCCCCTACTGGGGATGTGCCCACAACCAAGGTACATGCCCTTGACCGGAATCAAACCTGGGACCCTTCAGTCCACAGGCCGATGCTCTATCCACTGAGCCAATCCGGTTAGGGCAGTAACAATATATTTTTAAACGAGAAAAGAAAGAAAGGCTGGTGTTGGCCAATGGAGGAGAAAGTTCCCTGCAGAAGCGAGAGTGCGAGAGCAGCCTTCCTGGTGAAACTGCTTCCACGGGTCCATGAAACAACTGCTCGGCAGTTCCTGGGGGGAGGGGACTTTGAGGCCGGCTTGCTGGCAGCTGGCTTGCTGGTCGGTGCTGCTCAAGGCCTCTTGTCACGACCCTCTAAGCCATTCCCACCCAGGGGCCTGGGCATGAGCCCCTTCTCCAGAACTTCTCCAGAACCCCATCAGAACTCCCAGCCTGGCAGGGGGGTGGGTGGGAATAGAGCAGCTCAGGTGCCAGCTCAGGGCTCCAGGCCAGAGCTCACCCCCCTCAGCTGGATGGGGAGTGTGTCCACCTGACGTGCAGATGCAGGTGAACCACAGGAGGGGCTGCTTGTGAGAAGTTCCCTGATTGCGACACACCCCGCAGATCTGTCTCTGAGGTTGCGCAACCCTCTCCCCTATAAAGAGGGAGGCGTTTCGGCCTCTGGAATCTGTGGCTGGGCCTGCAAGCCGCCTCCTCCTTCTGCCCTCGCCCAGCCTGGCAGCCAGCATGAGGCTCTTCCACATCCTGCTGCTGCCTCTCTGCCTGCTCTTCGCCCAGGTGGGCCCAGGTGAGCTGGGGACCCTTGGGCACTCTGCCCAGGCCTGGGGACCAGGTGAAGGGAGCTGTGAGGACAGCTGGAGACACTGTGACCTGAGGGCAGAGGCTTCAGACAGCATTCTGGAGACCCAGGGCTAATGGCTGGCTGTGGGCTGCCCCTGGGTCTCCCTGCTGCCCTCTGACCCCCTATGGGGAGTCTGCAGGGTGAATGCCCCAGGGCCTGAGCCCAGCTGCTGGACCTGAGGGCTCATGCCCGGCTCCCTGTCTGACCCCTAGGGCTCCATGCCCTCTGCCTTCGCACCTGTCAGTGCCTCCCAACCCCATCAGGTCTTGGGCATCTAGAAAGGACCCTCTGTGGGGCCACCGACTCCACCTGCGAGATGGCCCCTTGCCAGGGAGGCTGGCTTCCTGTGCCGCTGCCAGGGGCACAGGCTGCCAGCCCCAGGTCTCCTGGGTCACCGGGTGGGGCCTCCCAGGTGCCCGGGTGTAAGCAGGTGCTGCCCGCCCTGCCCAGAGGCAGCTCACAGCTGTGACTCACCTGTGCAGGCAGTCAGGGCCCAAGGGCGGCTGAGACCTCCCCTGCAAAGCCCTTCACGCTCTGCCAGCTGGGAAACCTCCCCAGGAGATGCCAGCTCCTCTTGTCAAAGCAGCCAGACCCTGAGTCAGACAAGGCAGGACCTTCGGGAGGAATCTGGGAACACGTTTCACCCGAGCCTGTCCCTCACTCGCTCTGGCCTGGAGCACGGCGCACGCTCTGGGGTTGGTCTCCTGCTCTGTGAAACCAGGAGACGGGGGCTCTGAGGTACCCCAACTCTGAAATGCTCTGAAAGATCCAATCCTGCTCTTCTCCAGGCTGTCATTTTGTCAGACAGATGTGACTACTTTACTCTGGTTATGCCTCCGTGTGTCCATCCGGAAAGTGGGTAGGAAAGTTTTCTAACGCAGAGGGTTTAATGTTGCTGGTGGGAAACCTTGGAGAGGTGGGCAAATCCCATTAGAGACTTGTCTTTTCTCTAAAGAACATTCTCTCCTGCTCTGCCAGGGTGGGCCCTGTATGGGCGTGCATGTGTTGTGACACCCTGATTCGCGCGCTCACGAGCGTGTGTGTGTGTGTGTGTGTGTGTGTGTGTGTGTGTGTGTGTGTGTGTGTGTAAAATGTGTCATGAGGTTACGTGTCAAGTCCAGTGGGTGTGCCCTCCTTGCCCCTCCCCCACTGTCACACCCAGCTCACCAGCAAGGAAAAACTGATAGGTTACACCTGGTCAGTTTGGCCGTATAGCATCTCTCAGGGAGTTCAGTTCAGACTCAGAGAGTTCGAATGCTGCGTTGTCGAAAACACCAGTGCTTTCCACGATGCAGGAGCAGTGACTTGACTTGTCCCTCTGACGGAAGCACTAGCTGAGTGCTGCCTAGTGGCCCATGGGTTGGAGCACCGTCCTGTGCACCAAAAGGTTGTGGGATTGATTCCTGGGCAGGACACATACCTAGGTTGCAGGTTTGATTCTTCGTCTGGGTGCATTTGGGAGGCAAAAAATCCATGTTTCTTTCTCTCCATCTTTCCCTCTCTCTCTATCTCACTATATCTCTATATCTCTCTATCTCTCTCAAAAAATCAACAGAAACATATTCTCGGTTGAGGATTAAAAAGTCAATCAATAAAGCAGGAGCTGACACTGTGGAGCAGGTAGTAAATTCAGGATTAGCTCAGATACTCCCAGGCAGGCTACTCTGCTCTCTCCTCCGAGAACACGTCAATACTTCTGCACAAACCGGCCTGTCCATGGTCCTCAGAATGGGAACAGGGCGCCTCAGGAAGGCCCCTGCCTTGGGGGTAGTAGCCATTCTGCAAGGGGAAGAGCTGTGCCCACTGTCAGCTCTGGGCTGAGGCTGGGGGGCTCTGGTCACCTTGGGGCCCTGCAGGCACCACGTCGTCTGTGCTGTGACCTCTGTGTGAGATGTTCCCGCTGGGGACAGGGCCACAGGAAAGGCCGTACCTACACAACTATCTTCACGGGAATGTGTGTGCCATCTGAACGAGGTTGGGAGGGGTGTGGGGGACAATGATCTCCCCCAGTGTCTTTGTCTGTGATCCTAAGACCCACAGTCTCTGCTTGACTCCCCGGGCTGTGGGCTGGGTGTTTTTGTGGGTGTTGGTGCTGTGGTCCTGGCTGTGTGGTTGTTATGGTGGCTGCTGCCCCTATTCCAGTCGCTGCCCACGGGGGCATGGACGGCTGTGGGATCCACATGATCACCAGGTCCGAGCTCAGTGCAGAGAGGGAGCCTGCTGCTTCCGAGTCTGCGGGGTCCCCACTGCACCCCTGGCTGACTTGGGTCCCCCAGTGGGCTCAGCCCATCCCTCTCCTGGAAGGGCCATCAGAGCTCATTTAGTCACATGGTGGGCTCCCAGGTGGGGAAACCAAGGCATGCAGGAGTGGGGCAAAGGAGAGCTGCAGTCACAACCGGAGACCACAACACTCCTGTTCGTAGTTTTCCTCTCTCTCTGAAAAGAAAAGAAAAGAATATATATGTATATTCTATCTAATAAAAGAGAAACATGGTAATTAGTGTACGTCCGCTACCCTTCCCATCGGCTAATCAGGGCGATATGCAAATTAACTGTCAGCCAAGATGGCGGTTGGCAGCCAGGCAGCTTGAAACTAACATGAGGCTTGCTTGCTTCAGTGATGGAGGAAACCAACATT